GATTCAAACTCAAACTCTCCAACTAGGTGACCTTGGACAAGCCATTGCACAAGTGTTTGAGTATCCTCGTCTGTCAAATGTTAAATCCTGCCGTCTTCCTAGAGCCCTCGGGGAGTTCAGATGGGGGGTTGATTGGGGGAGGCCCATTATGAGCCGCAAATCTCTGTCTGCTCAAGACAAAGTGCATGAAGTGCAAGGTTCAGCTCAGGGTAGCTGAAAGGGAGGTGCTGAGTGTATGTTGGGGGTATCTGACCGTGGATGTCTTCTTCTCCTTCTTTTGAGAGAGAGAAAGAGAGAGAGAGCGCGCACCTGAGCAGGGGGCGGGGAGTGGTTGGGACCAGAGAGGGAGTGAAAGAGAGAAGCAGGCTCCAAGCTCAGTGTGGAGCCCAATGCGGGGCTTGATCTCACAATCCTGAGATCATGACCTGAGCCAAAATCAAGAGTCCGACACTTAATCAGCTGAGCCACCCATGCACCCCAAGACTAGGTGTCTTATTGTCTGGGTTTAGCCAATGACACAGAACTTGGGCCCACAGATGACTTTTCTCCCAGGCACCTTCTCAGTGATAGCGATGGGGAAGTGTGCAGACCTCCCAGGCTGCATTGTTGGCTGTGGGGTTTTCTTGTTCCTATGGGGTCTGTGGGGCCTCCTTATGTAAAAAGGACAGAAAGCTTGGCTTCACAATGTTGTGACTTATGGATGAATGAAAGAGAAAGAGTCCCATTGTCAACCCCACAGAGGTTAGAAATGAATTCATAATAATTAACAATAATGATAGTGATGATGATGGCCATCACCCTCATTTGCTCACCGTGTATGTGTTGGGTGCTGTTCTAAGCCACCATTCACGAAGAGCTTGCTAAGTGCCAGATGCCTTTCTGAGGGCTTTATGAAAATTAATTCACCTGATCCTTATGAGTTACTGATGACTATTCCCATTTTACAAATCAGGACACTGAGGCTCCAGGAGATTGAGAAAATGAACTTGTCCAGGTTGTGATGAGTTGGTAGGTAGGGACAGCTTCAGAGGTGGACAATTTGACTCCAAAGCTCACACAAGTTGTTTCTCTCTTCTGTCAGTGTGTTTCTCTGATGTCTGATCGTGTTTGGCGATGCTGTCCAAAGTTTGAAGCTGAGCCTGTCAGTTGTGAGGCTGGGTTATGCTTCCTCAGGCCCCTCCCCACTGCACCTCCTGCCATCGCCCTTCTGTAATAGGACCTGGTCCCTCCCTATTCCTGGGCCTAGATATGAAGGGGGTTGTTCAATGAATGGAAACACGTTAGCTGGCAGGAAAGAGCACTGGACTGAGAGTCTTGTGCTGGGGGTGCCGGTGGGGGGATCCGGTTCAGGCTTGGCCAGGGACAGGTGTCCCTCCACAGGGTTTCATCCACTCTGTAGAGCAAAGGATGTTGAACTGAAGGTCCCTGGCAGACTTGGGGAACTTGAGCAAAGTCACACAACTCATTGGTGAACTGACTGGGCTCCATCCAGAGCTGTTGTCACCAGAGCTGGCTGCCTGGAACAAGAGGCAGACTGCTACTAGGTAAGCAGTCCATAAATAGCACAGTGATTCTGGGGTAGGAAGACAGTGGGCAAGATTTAGGGACAGGAAGTCTTTTCCGGCCGCCCTGGAAAGAAGAGACTTCTCGGGCTCCCAGGCCAGTGCTGGGAGGGGTAGCATTCTTGTCCCTCGGCTCCCCAGGCTTGGTTTCACCACCAGAAGAGGGTGGGGGCCCCATCTTTTGGTCCTGCTTCCTCTAGTCATGGTTGGCTGGGCCTTTGAGGCGAGTCTGTGATGTTTGGGTTCCTGCGGCCCCCACTCAACCCATTATCAGCAGGCAGCCTCAGCCAGGGCCCCATGTTGGATTGGAAAGTTCTTTCTCTGTGATACCTGGGGTCTGATACCCGGTGGAGACCCTCCATAGGTGGTGAGCATCGTTAATAAGTCAAATGAAAAGAAGCAGCTGGAAGGTGGTGGTGACTTGGGTGTGTGTTCTCCTGATCCCATTTTGGCTCCACTTTCTTGCCGCCCAGGCAAGCCACTTTGAGGCCAGCTCTCCTCTCGTCTCTTCCAAAAAGCTCTGAGTCCTTCCAGCAAATACCTGCATTTCATGAATGGCGGCCTCCATATCCGAAAGATATGTCCACATCAGATCCCTAGAATCCGAATGTGACAGGCCCTGCCCTGCCTCTCCTTCCTTCCCTGCCATTATTTGGAAAAAACGTTTTTCCAGGCCTAATTGAGATAAGGATCTTGAAGTAAGATCATCTTGGATTATGCAGATGGGCCCTAAATCCAAAGACAGGGGTCTTTTTTTTTTAAAAAATTATTTATTTATGATAGTCATACAGAGAGAGAGAGGCAGAGACAAGGCAGAGACATAGGCAGAGGGAGAAGCAGGCTCCGTGCACCGGGAGCCCGATGTGGGATTCGATCCCAGGTCTCCAGGATCACGCCCTGGGCCAAAGGCAGGCGCCAAACCGCTGCGCCACCCAGGGATCCCGACAGGGGTCTTTTAAGAGAAAGGCGGGGCACCTGGGTGGCTCAGTGGTTGAGTGTCTGCCTTCGGCTCAGGGTTTGATCCCAGGGTCCTGGGATCGAGTCCCGCATCGGGCTCCCTACAGGGAGCCTGCTTCTGCCTCTGCCTGTGTCTCTGCTCTTTCTCTCTCTGTGTCTCATGGATGGATAAGTGAAATCTTTAATAATAATAATAATAATAATAATAATAATAATAATAGAAAGGCAGAAGATTTGAGACATGAAGGGGAGAGGATGCGACCACTGAGGCAGAGAGGACAGTGATTTGGACACAAGGTCACAAAGAAAGGAATGCTGAATCCTTTCCAGTCTCCAGAAGCTAGCAGAAGCAAGGAAGGATTGTCCCCTGGAGCCTCTGGCAGCACGTTGATTTGGACTTCTGGCCCCCAGAACTGTGAGAGACTAAGGCTCTGTTGCGTTGAGCTCTTCTGTTTGTGGTACTCTGCTAAAGGGGGTCTAGGAAATGAAGCCACTAGGGAGTGGAGCAGGGTGGCTGGAGCCGCGGGCCTGAGGCCTCCGAGGGGCTCCAGCCAGCAAGAGCTGCGTGCGCCAGGGAGGCTGCGCAGCCTCGTCTGCAAAATGGAGCCAATAAAGCCGATCTTCCCCAGCTGGTTTTGTTTTGTTCGCACAGCTTTATTGGGATGTCATGCACATAGCATGCAACTCCCCCATTTAAAATGCACCTTTCAGGGTGCGCCTGGGTGGCTCAGTTGGTTAGGTGTCTGTCTTCGGCTCTGGTTGTGATTCTCGGCGTCGTGGGATCAGGCCCCACATTGGGCTCCCTGCTCAGCGGGGAGCCGGCTTCTCCCTCTCTGTGCTGCTCTGCCGACCCGAACTCTCTCTGTGTCAAATAAATAAAGTCTGTTTTTTTAAAAAGATTTTTATTTCGTTTATTCATGAGAGATACAGAGAGAGAGAGGCAGAGACACAGGCAGAGGGAGAAGCAGGCTCCATGTGGAGAGCCTGACATGGGACTCAATCCCGGGTCTCCAAGATCACGCCCTGGGCTGAAGGCAGCACTAAACCACTGAGCCACCCGGGCTGCCCAATAAATAAAATCTTTAAAAAAATAAAAATAAAATAAAATGCACCATTCTGTGGGCTTTTTACTGTATTTGCACAGTTGCACAACCATGCCCACATCAGCTAAAGAACATTTTTGGCATCCCCCTTAAAAGAAGCACCACCCCATGATCAGTTGCTTCCCAGGTTTTTTTCCACAACTCCCCTAACCCTAGCCAACCACTAATTTACTTTATCTGTAAAGATTTACCTATTCTGCACATTTCATATACATGGAACCATACCGTATATGGCCCTCTGTGTCTGGCTTCTTTTGCCGAGCGTAATGTCACATTTCCTTCATGTTGTAGCAGGTGTCCATGCTTTATTCTTTTTACGGCTGAATAGTACTCCATTGCATGGGTTTATGACATTTTGTTTATTCATTCATTTATTGACAGATACTTGAGTTGTTTCCATATTTTGGCCATTAGAAATTATACATTTATGAAATTTCGTATATAAGTTTTGTTTTGTTTTTGGAGATTTTATTTATTTATTCATGAGACAGAGAGAGACGAAAGACACAGGCAGAGGGAGAAGCAGGCTCCTTGTGGGGAGCCCAATGCAGGACTCGATTCCAGACCCCGGGATCACACCCTGAGCCGATGGCAGATGCTCAACCACTGAGCCACCTAGGCGTCCCACATTTCCATGCATTGGCCTCATATATAAGTTTTTGTGTGGACATGTCCAGAGTGTTTGGAAGATTGAATGAACTGGTGTCTATGATATGCCCTTCACCAAATGAAGAATCTCAGAATCAGCTGCGACTCCTCCAATTTACAGATTGGGAAACTGAGACACAGAGAGGAGCAGCAGAGACTTGCTTGAGGTCACCCCAGACAGTAGAGCAAAACACTTAATTGCATCTCCTTGTGTCTGACTGCCCAGAACCAAATCCCAGTTCCATTTGGACCTGGGTCACCTTGTGCAAGTTAGCTTCACCTCTCTGGTCCTCAGTGTCTTCATGTGGAGAAGAAGCATGGTAGTAGTATCCACCTCATGTAGTTGGTGTAAGAATGAAATGTGCTAGCCCATGGGTCTGGGCCGTGTTAGGTGCTCTGCAAATCTCAACCGTTCTCACTCTTGGCAGCGCCAGATGTGGAACTCAAGTCACCTGGCTCCCAAGTGTCAGGCGTTTTGAGTCTATGCTTCCCCAGTCCCCTTCCCTGTATCATGAGCATCTTCCCAGAGTGATTGTAAGTTCCTTGGAGGAAGGAGCTGTGGCTTCCTCTCTCCACTGCCCTGAGCATATAAGAGGTGCTGGATGAGCACATCCTTGGCCCTCCCAAACCCTGGCCTTCACTGGGTGCCCCAGCTAGGAACGGTGGTAGGTGTTAATTCTCTACATCTTTCCAACGCTCCCTGTGATGACCAAACATGTCTTCCTTCCAGACAGTGGACAGTTTGCCGCCATGGAGTTGGGGCCTCTGGAAGGCGGGTACCTGGAGCTTCTCAACAGCAGTACCGATCCCTTGCAGCTCTTCCACCTCTATGACCAGACGGACCTGGCTAGAGAAGAGATTGAGCTCTTCTCAGGTGGGCCCTCCACCGCCCCCCGCCCCGCCCCTCGCATGGCCTTGCTCACCTCCCCCCTCATCCTGCAGCTAACGCAGTCAGCAACCCAGCAACTGGGGGATGCTCCGGCCGTGGAGCTCGGGTCAGCACCACAGATAGCTCCAGACCGCTTGCCAGTTGTTTGCTTTCAAAGGGGACATCTGGTCTCCCCGCCCCACCCCACCTCGCCTTCCGTCCCCACCAGCTCTCTTCCCAGACCTTTCCTCCTTCATCCATGGGGCTTTTCCCTCCAGAACCCGACATGGACACCATCAACTGCGAACAGTTCAGCAGACTGTTGTGTGACATGGAAGGTGACGAAGAGACCAGGGAGGCTTATGCCAATATCGGTGAGGAAGTGTTTGAAACCCGGGAGAAGGCTAGCTGAGGGGGAGAGTTCCTTTTTCTCTTTTGTTAACCTCTGCCATCCACCACAAACCACAGCAGGCTTCTCCCTCACGAATCAGGGCGTGGGGGATGCGGGGAGAGGGCTAGAAGAGAGACTCGGGGGAAGAAGGGAGATCAACCCCGTTCGCCAAGGACCACCGGGCAAACAACATCTCACTTTTAACATTCTCTGCCTCCATTTCTATACCTTTTTATATTTCTTACTCTTCTTTCCTTCCTTCTGCACAGCCCAAACCACCTACCCCTGTTTTCTTTTTTTAATTTTTTTTTCCCTCCCTGATTTCCTCCCCAGCGCCTAAACCAAACTACTATTTGTAGTATCTACCCTTTGGGAAGCACCTGTTGCATGCAGATCACCATATGTGCGTCAGTGCTTTGAAGCTTTACAACAACAAAGGAAGTAACTAGTGTTAGTATCTCCATTTTATGGAGCAGGAAATCAGAGGTTTAGAGAAGTAAAGCACCATACCCAGGGCTGCATTAGGTAGAAGTAGTAGTGGGCCAATAGTCATGCGTAGATTCAAAGTTAGATCTTGCTCATTTCAAAGTCCTTATTTTTAACCACAAAAAAGAAAGTGTCTAGGGTGGGGAGGTTCTTGGGAGGCTAATTTGCAGGTTTAAAAAGGGCAATAGCTTTCAGATAAGGGCAGAACTCTTCGGAGAGAGGTGTTGCTGTTGATGTTTTGGTTTTGGGGTGTTTTTTTTTGAGGGGAGTGGGGCAAATGCTCCCTCGTCTCCCAAGATGACCTCTATCTCAAACAGGCTCTGTTGAATTAGAAAAAGATGCCCCCTCTTCTGGAGATGTAGCCCCCGTTTGTCCTCTTGCTGGGCATCCACGTGTAGTGAACGACCTGCACAACTGGCCGCGGTGGCCCTTTCCACGCGGAGGTCTGTGCTTGGCATGAACGTGGCCAGTCTTTCCACGGTGCACAATTAATCCTGTAGCACACAAAGTGGAAAATGGAGAGGAGTGGTAACTGTGTCTCAAAAATTACAGAACTGAGAAGTCTGCCCACTTCCTTTCCTTCCTCGTAACTTAACTTGAGGAAGCAGAAGTGTTCGGTGCTGAGGGTATTCGTATTCCTCACAAATGGAGGCAGTGATGATGGATTGCAGCATGATTTAGGATTGAGGGGCTTTTTCGCTTGGGGGCATCTACACAGGAAACAGAAGCTGTCAAAGCAAGTGGAGGTGGAAGTTTTATCCACATCTGTTCCTCACGTCTGTGGGTTTTCTCTGTGCTTCTAGAAAGCCAGGCTCTGGCCTGGGCATGCAGTCATTTGAAGTATCTTGATATATGTCTACAAAACAGCTCCCATTTGTGCATAAGTGGGTATGATACTCACCCCTGCCTCCTGGGATGGCTGAGGATTGGATGAGTTTCTGCATGTAAAGTGTCTAGGAAAGGAGTTTGCAAAGAGGGAGTCAGGTGCCCCCCACCGCTACCACCGCCACCATCATCACAGTCATCACGGTCACTGCTGTCCTCTTCTGGCTCTCCACTGCTGATAAAAGCCAATCCCTCCCTTTCCCCAACATGAAACTTCCACTGCGGGCACCTGTCTCTGAGTTTCTCAAACACCTTCCCTCACCCTGTCCCCACTGCCTGGAGCCCTCCACTTCCCACCTCCCTGACTCTGACCATCTCCCAAGGCCTGGCTCCGGGGTCCTTTCCCTCAGGAGCCCTCCCTGCTGGGCCCATGCCACCCTACACTCTTTCCTCTGACCTCTTGCCATGATCACGGTCTCCCCATTGACTCCCAGTCATGTACCACTTTCTACAATGAACCGCTACTTATTAAGCGCCTGTGGTGTACTGGCTGCTGTGTTTGGTGTGGAGCCTCTAATGCTCACCATCCATCCTTGGGTTGTAGGTATTACTTATTCTCATTACGCAGAAGAGGAAGTGGAATCCCAGAGAGGTTAGGTAATTGGTCCAAGTGTGCACAGCTAGTAGGGTTAATGGGGACAGAGCTGGAATTTAACCTTAAACCCCATGACAATGCTACCACAACCGTGTTGTACTACTTTAGAGCAATAGTCAAGTTTTCATGGATGTACATCATCCCTTCAGTTAGATTAAGAGGCCATGAAGGTTCAGTGTTGCTTCGTTCATTTGATCATTCATTCAGCACACACTGAGCCGCCCCGTGTTTGCCAAGCCTTGAGGGCCTACCCCAAGGCCTGGGGTGCAATAGGCTTTCAGAAAACTCTACCGACTGACTGTTCTTTTCCTTGTCTGGGCAGCGGAACTGGACCAGTACGTGTTCCAGGACTCCCAACTGGAGGGTCTGGGCAAAGACATTTTCAGTAAGTGGGAGGATTCTTGGCTCAGCCTGCATTCCCTTCCTTGTTGCTTGGGGAGCCTTGTCACATCTAACGGCCACCCTTGGAAGGGTGGTCACATCCTCACCCGATGTAGGGACGATGGAGGCTCACTTTGGGCATCCTTTGACTGTGTTTTGGTGTCTCTGGTTTCTCTCCAAAGTCGAGCATATAGGATTAGAAGACATGATCAGCGAGACTGTGGAGGTGCTAGAGGAAGCAGGACACAAAAGTCAGAAAAGACGTGAGTAAACCCCTCTCTGACCTGACCCTGGCCTGCTTGACTCTTGGCCCTGTCTTTGCTCCCAGTTGCTTCCCCTGTTAAGCCCTATCTGCTTTCCCCAGGTTTGGATGTTCCGCCCCCCACGCCCCTCACTGCTGCTCCTGGTGACCCAGGGAGGAAGCAGACAGCCCAGGGTGCTAGGGGCCACTCTCCACATGGGTCTCTGCCCCTGGCTGTTTTGATTGCCATTTCCCAAAGGACCTTTGGGCCCTGGCTTCTCTTTCACTCTTCATTGTCACCTCTGTGTTTGAGGGACGTGTCTTCAGGTGCAGATTCTGGAGTCAGCAAGAACTGGGTCAGAGTCCCGGGTTGCTATTTATGGTCTGTGTGGCCTTGAGCGAGTGCCTGGACCTCTCTGAGCCTCTCATTCAGTCTCTGTGCTTCCTTAATCTGTCCTCACCAGTCAGTCTACATGGGCTTCTAAGTACCAATCAGATAGTTTAGCTGTCCTCCTAACCCTCCAACAGCTACAAAATACATACACAAGGCCTATATGATCTGGCTATTCCCAACTCTCCAAACTTGCCATGGGCCAGGACATTCCAGCCACGCTGGCTTCCTACCATTCTTAAGCTCACCTACTCTTTGCAGCCTCAGGGCCCTTGCACTTGCCATTCTACCTGGAATGCCCTTTCCCCAGTTCTTCCCATAGCAGGCTCCTCTGAATCCTTTAGGTCTTGGCTAATTTGTCACCTCCTCCTGAAGGCCTTCTTTGACCACCCTTCCACATAGATCACCTCACTGATTTTCACCTTGTGTCTCTCCTAGCCCCTTAGCACTTGCCACTATCTGGACTTACTTTTATTTTTATCATTGCCTTTTATCTATTGCCTTTTTAAAAAAGATTTTATTTATGTGTTCATGAGAGACACACAGAGAGAGGTAGAGACACAGGCAGAGGGAGAGGCAGGCTCCCCATAGGGAGTTTGATGTGAGACTTGATCCCAGGACCCTGGGGATCACATCCTGAGCCAAAGGCAGATGCTCAACCACTGAGCCACCCAGGTGCCTCTATCTATTGCCTTTTGACTAGTTCCTTGCTGTGAGGACAGGGATCTTGTCTTCCTTACTCATTAACTGCATCCCCAGAATCTAACACAGTCCCTGCTGTAGCACCTCAGTGAATGTCCACCGAATGAACATATCTGTAAAATGGGTATAACAGTTGAGTAAGAGCTTACTATGCTCCAGACCATGTGTCAAACTCATACCTGTTTCTTTATTTGTTAACAGGTAAAGCAGGTACATAGCATAAAAATTCAAAAGATGCAATAATATTCAGTGAAACAAACAAACAACCTCCCACCTCTGTTCCGTAGAGTCTCAGTTTCCTTCCCTGAAAACAGCCTATGTGACCAGTTCCTTTTTTACCCTGTTAGGAATATTATATTTGTCTATCAGCCAGCTCTTTAAAATAAATTTTTTTTCACTACACAAATAACCACAGTTTTACTAATGCTCTCTTGCACCTGGCTTTCTTCATTTAACATGCCTGGGAGGTCATTTCTGTATCACTGATGGAGAACACAATATTCATCAGGGAATATTCCTCTTGCTTGCTTGCTTTTTTTGTTTCATTCAAGAAATATTTTCCCCAGAATTTTACTACAAAACTTTTCAGCGTAAAGTAAAGGGGAAAGAATCGTACTGGAAACAACTGTTTGGCTATAGTTGCCTTAACACATCTCTATCCATCTGTCACCCCCTTTCCCCACCCATTCATCCATTCGTTTTATTTTGGGAAACTTTCAAAGTAAAGTGCAGACACCAGTACCCTTCCCTGTATGTCCATTAGCATTCTTAGCATTCTTGTTTTTTTGTTTTTTGTTTTTTGTTTTTAGGGCTGCATGGAATTTCGCTGGGTGGGTGAATCATAATTTGTTTAGCCAGCCCCGGGCTGAGGGACACATAGGGTTTTTCTCCGTTGGCGTGCTAGTGCTTGGCACTTAGCTCACGATTTTTCAGTGCACTCGGGCAAAGTAGGAATCCCCGCCCCGGGTTCACAGATGAGCCATCAAGGCTCACAGAGGCCGTGTTGCAAAGACACACAGCTAGGAAAAGACCAAAAGCAGGTTGTTTTTTTCAATGCTTATTTTTCTAAATTCAAACTCATCTTGTGTCCGCTGCCTCTTCCAGTATCTCACTAGCCCTGGGTGTTTAAGGTGGGGTTTGGGCACAGCCGGACAGGCAGGGAGCAGGAACAATCAGAGAAAGGGGAGGCAAGGGGACCCACAAGGCCACTTCCCCGCCATTTAGGGCAGGGCCATGTGGCTGCTGGGGTTCCTGGGCTCCTCCTGGTTTGGACAACACCTTCCTCCGGGCACCTGACCATGATATTCTCTCCGCAGCCTTCTCAGAGGAAATGCCCGTGGACTTGAAGCACAGGAAGCTAGGTGAGCAGGGTGGGGTGGGCCCAGGGAGAGGATGAGGCGGGAAGGCCAGGGCCTCTGCAGGTGCATGTATGAATGGCAGTGGAAAGCCAAGGCTGAGAGGTGAAGTGGCTCATCCAAGGTCACACAGCTACTGAGAGGCGGTGTTGGGATGCAAACCAAGATCGTGATGCCATACCCCTTGTTCTGCAGTTTCAGGGCTGCTGGGAGGTTCAACTTCTCCTACCAAGCCTCTCCCTCTACACCCCTTCTTCTTAATTCTGAGTCAGAGAGGAGATCCTGCCTCCTGCCTTATTCCACTGCCCCTCCAGGCCACACTTCTCCTTTTATAGTACAGAGTCACCAAGGGTCAGCTGGTCACCCAGTACCCTCTGGCCACCTGAGAGCCCCATGCCGCAGTCAGCCTCTTCCTCAGCTCCCTGCCTCCTCCCTCCAGATGCCCCCTCCTCTCCCTTCACCTCCCCTCTTGTCCCACCTCCCTTCTTGTCCCGGTTGTGATTACAAAATGCGTGTGTGTGTGTGTGGGGGGAACCAACCCCTGAGTGACAGAGTGAGGAAATAGCTCATAATCTAATGAAGGAAGCCTAATCCCTACCCTCAGAAAGAACCGATCTGATGGGAGAGACTGGGGCCCTGTCTATGAAGAATCCAGAACAATGGGGTATCCTTGGGTTTAGTGCCTGCCTTCGGCCCAGGGCGTGATCCTGGGGTCCCAGGATCAAGTCCCACATCAGGCTCCCTGCATGGAGCCTGCTTCTCCCTCTGCCTGTGTCTCCACCTCTCTTTCTGTGTCTCTCATGAATAAATAAATCTTTTTAAAAAAATCCAGAACGATGGAGAAGTGATCCCTGGCCTCAGAAATCTCTCAGTCTGATGGGAGACACTGGGTTCCTACTTTCAAAGACTTCCCCCAGTCTGGTGGGGGAGATAGGAGCTCTCCCTGTGAAGACCCCGGGATGATAGGAAAATCGTCCCTCTGGGGAGCTCCCAATCTGATGGGAGAAGCAAATTTCTACCCTCTTCTATGTCCCTACTAAATGGAGGAGAAAAACCCCTGCCCCAGTCTGATGGGGGACAAGGGGGCACATACAGCCCCTGCCTTCTTTAGGGAGTGCTTGGGGCCTCTTAGGGTCCCCCAAGGGGCTCAGCAGCTGGCCATGGAAGGTGGTAGGGGCCTCAGGCACCAGCCTGTTCATAGTTTCCGTCCTGCCTGTGGCTCTCCACCTTAGGAAGCTCTCAGGACCTGGTGTCAGGGAGAGGGCTGGGGGCTGGAGGGCTGCCTGGCACAGAGAAGCTGCTGACAGAGCAGCTTCCCTCGGGCTGGGAAGACGATGGGAGCTTCCTCTAACTGCCAGGAGAGAGAGATCTACTCTGCTTCTGAGGTCCTCCCCAGAAGGGTCCCTCCAGACCCCCTCGGATCCCACCGATGGTCCCGTTGATCTAACATGCTTCCTCTTCCTCACAGCTGAGCCCCTCACTGTACCCATGGTGACCGGCACCTTCCTGGTGGGGTCAGTGAGTGACCCCTCGGTTCTTCCCTGCCTGTCACCACCTGCCGTGTTCAACGAGCAGCCCGCACCTGTCCAGAGCTGGCTCGGGGAGACTGTCCTGATGCCAGGTACGTTAGGGACTTGGGGAGCAGGCTTCCCCACCCACTCTGTGTAGCCCACTTTCACCCAGCTAGTCCCACCCTCATGGTCCCCATCAACTCAGCCTGTGCCGGGGAATGTGCCTTGGAAGGAAACACGTCCCCTGGGAGATAGAGCAGGGAAGTCCCACCGATTGGGGCGTCCACCCATCAGCCCTCATCACTCATCAGCTGTGACTGAGCACCCCGTCTGTGCCAGCCACTCTGCGGGTGCTGGGGACACCGTCACGGGCCAGCCAGACACAGCTGCTGCTCCAGGGGACGGTGGTGCCGTCAGATGTCCATCGAATAATCATGAAATGAGATGAGGAACATAGGTGCTCCGGACGCTCCCACCTCATGCCTTTGCCTCTTGCAGTACCTGCCTCCGGTTCCTTGCTGAGCTGCCTGAGTCTTCCTGCTGGTGGCATCCAGATCGTCCCCAGCCTCCCCTCCCTGCCCCAGGGGCTCTGGCCCATCTCGGGGGCTGGGACAGGGGTGTCTGGCATGGTCATCTATCAAGGTGAGTGTGTGAGGCCTGGCCGCCCCCGCACCCCCCTCCCGCTGCTACCTGCCTCCTCCCTGATCCCATCCTCCCCCCAACCCCGGGTGTGCAGCACCTTCTCATGATCCGCCCTCCCCCAGAACACCCTTCTCTGACCCCCTTTCCCAAAAATCAAAGCAGAAGAGCAGAGCTCCCTGAGGTGGTTTGGGTGAGTGACCCAGCCAGCGGCCTGTAGCTTTCCATGTGTCACTTCCCCCCACCAAGCCTTAGCTTTGCTTTTTTTTTTTTCCCCTCCTCTGTACTAAACTTCATGCTATTTAAAAATCACGATGACAGTACATGCTCATTCACAAGCCAAACAATAAAAGATGCTCGCCAGAGGTACTGAGGCTCTTCCGCACTCTCAGGGTAGCGTGGTTTGGTGTGCATCCTTGTGTGGCTTTTCTGGAATTGCCTTATTTCGCGATCGGCAGGATGGCCCCTGCTGACCTCCCATGCTTGGGGGTTGTGAATTGTCCGGGGCAAGGCTCGCTTGGGCTCTCAGGGATGAGAGAGAAGATGAAGCCAGGGAAGGGGCAAGGGGGACTCTCAGCCAATCCAAGAGCATCTTTTAAAAGTCGTATACCAGTTTTCTGTATGCACCGAGGGCCAGAAGCAAGGGAGTGCCCCTGACATCTAGGCAAGTGGGCACTGACCACACAGCAGGAAGAGTATTTTTTTTAAGATTTTATTTATTTATTCACACACAGAAAGAGAGAGAGAGAGAGAGAGAGAGAGAGGCAGAGACACAGGCAGAGGGAGAAGCAGGCCCCATGCAGGGAGCCTGATGTGGGACTCGATCCCTGGGACTCCAGGATCACGCCCTGGGCCAAAGGCATGTGCTAAACCACTGAGCCACCCAGGGATCCCCAGGAAGAGTATTATTGTAGCACTTGCCCTAAGCTGCCTGTGAGCTGACTGTGCCCATTTCACAGGTGGGGAAACCAAGTTGCCATGAGCTAGATATAACTCCAGAGTTCTTTCCTCAGTTCTGTCCTGAAATGTCCTCCTTTGGAAGTGCCCCCAGATCTCCTCCCCAGACTTCCAAGCCACGCAGCCTAATTTGGGTGGGGGTGACCCAAGTGGGTGCCTGGGCAGATACCTGGCTAGTTCTCACTGCTTGCCTTTGTCCCAATGTAGGGGAGATGCCCCAGGCCAGCCAGGTGCTTCCTTCCAGTGGCCCAGCCATGCAGAGTCTCCCCAAGTCCCCAGATCGGCCCGGCTCCACCAGCCCCTTTGCCCCATCTGCCGCTGACCTTCCTGGCATGCCAGAACCAGCCCTGACCTCCCGTGCAAATATGACAGGTAAGGACCCTCGGGGCCCGTGAGAGCTACAGGAAGCAAGACTGAGGCCCTGGGGAGGAGGAACTGAGCTGCCCCCAGGGATGGGGAGGCTGTGTGTACCGGTAAAACAAGGCAGGGAGGGTCTCCAGGGAGTGAAAGTCATAAGAGAACCCTTACTCCACCTAAACCTGACCACTGGCCTTTAGCTCCTGGTCACCCGGAACAAAAAGAGACCCAGTGTGGCCAGATCTTCTGAATTGTCAGCAGAATTTATAAATCTCAAGTTTTACATAAAGGTTTTTAAAAATATTTTTTTAAAAAAATCAATTATTTATTCATGAGAGACACAGAGAAAGGCAGAGACACAGGCAGAGGGAGAAGCAGGCTCCCTGCAGGTCACCACCTTATGACCTTGGTATGGGGGGATGGGGGTGGGGTTGGGGGATGAGGACTCAGCCCGCAGTGGTTCTGCCTTTGGGATACTCAGGACTGAATGTCCCCAAGGCAGGGAGGTCCCAGGGCAGGCCTCTCACCCTAACTGCTTTATCTCCAGAGGACCAGCTGTCCCCTCCCCGATGTGTGGCAGCTCACGAGGTCTCCAGCAAGCCTCCAAAATTGCCCGGTGAGTGGTGGTAGACTCTCTGTGCCCTGGGGGGCAGGAGGTGGAAGCCCAAATCTGCCTCTCCTTCATTCACTCACTCACTCACTCGCTAACCCATCCCTTACTCAACCACATTCTGTCGGCTGGCTCACATGCATTTGTTCACATGCTCCCTTGAGTCCACCATGCACAACACGTAAGTCTTGTTTACCGAGGGCCTGGCCTCGGAAGTGCTCCCCAAGTGCTGAGGGAATGATGAGGGGAGTGTGAACAAAGGAAAGAATGACTACGGGCATGGGGGCGAGGGAAGGTGGGATGCGAGGGTGACCAAGCTCCGACGTCTTACTCTGTTCCATGTGCTCTTCTAAGCAGGTACGTTAAATCGCAGGTGTCGCACACGGCCCTAATGTTAGCCCCCCTTCTGCAGATGAGGGACTTCTGGGGCATTGCCCCGAGACACAGTGGAGTCTAGGACATGTTCCAGATTACAGTAATTAGTGGTGGAGCTGGGATTGGAACCAGATACCTGGATTCCACTCTCTTAACCCTTTACGCCTCCCCCGACCCTTCTTAGAGTAGGTGAGCAAGAGCAGAGGGGGTTAGCCAGTAGATGAAGGGGTGGGTAGGTACACAAGGGAGAAGACAGGTGAATTATGGGGAGCAAACGAATGAATGAGTAGCTGAACGAGGCAGTAATAAAGAAGGCAGTGGGTGGGGATCGACTGGCGTGTGGGTGAAAAAGCTAGTGACAGTGGTCAGGCTGGCCTCATGATGGCCAGTCCTGCCACTGGCACCCTCCCCCCCTCTCCCCCAACTCACACCCTCCTGGGCCTTTGCAGAGAGCGTGGAGCAGTTCTGCAGCTCCCTGCGAGACAAGTACCAGGCTGAGCCCGCAGGCCCGGATGGCATCCTGGTGGAAGTGGAGCTGGTGAGGGCACGGCTGGAGAAGAGCAGCAGCAAGAGCCAGGACAGGGAGCTGGCCACCCCGGACTGGGCGGAGCGGCAGCTGGCCCGAGGGGGTCTGGCCGAGGTGCTGCTGGCCGCGGGTGACCGCCGGCGGCCACGGGAGACGCAGGTGATCGCTGTGCTGGGTAAAGCAGGACAGGGGAAAAGTCGCTGGGCCCGAGAAGTGAGCCGGGCCTGGGCCTGCGGCCAGCTGCCACAGTACGACTTCGTCTTCTACATCCCCTGCCACTGTCTGGACCGTGCGGGGGACACGTACCGCCTGCAGGATCTGCTCTTCTCCCTGGGGCCCCGGCCGCAGCCCGTGGATGACGAGGTCTTTGGCCACATCTTGAGGAGGCCCGATCGCGTTCTTCTCATCCTGGATGCCTTCGAGGGGCTCGAAGGCCAAGACGGCGCGTGCGGCCCCGCATCCACAGAGCCCCAGTCCCTCCGAGGGCTGCTGGCCGGCCTCTTCCAGCGTAAGCTGCTGCGAGGCTGCACCCTGCTGCTCATCGCCCGGCCCCGGGGCCGCCTGGCCCAGAGCCTGAGCAAGGCGGACGTCGTGTTCGAGGTGGCCGGCTTCTCGGCCCAGCAGGCTGAGACCTACATGACACGCTACTTGGACCACTCTGGGGCCACGGAGCACCGAGAGCGAGCCCTGGCCCTCCTCCGCAGCCAGCCATTCCTCCTCAGCCACAGCCACAGCCCCACCGTGTGCCAGGCCGTGTGCCAGCTCTCCGAGGCCCTCCTGGAGCTGGGCGACGGGGCCGAGCTGCCCTCCACGCTCACGGGACTCTACGTGGGCCTGCTAGGCCCTGCGGCCCAGGACAGCCCCCCGGGGGCCCTGGCGGGACTGGCCAGGCTGGCGTGGGAGCTGGGCCGCAGACACCGGGGCACGCTGCAGGAGAGCCAGTTCCCGTCGGCAGAGGTGAGGGCCTGGGCCGTGGCCAAGGGCTTGGTGCGGCCCGTCCCGGGGGCCCGAGACACGGAGCTGGCCTTCTCCAGCTTCCTCCTGCAGTGCTTCCTGGGGGCCGTGTGGCTGGCCCTGAGCAGTGAGATCAAGGACAAGGAGTTGCCACAGTACTTGGCATTGACCCCGAGGAAAAAGAGGCCCTATGACAACTGGCTGGAGGGCGTACCGCGCTTCCTGGCCGGGCTGCTTTTCCAGCCTCATGCCGACTGCCTCGGAGCTCTGGCAGGGCCGGCCGGGGTCACCTTGGGGGACAGGAAGCAGAAAGTGCTCAGCAGGTACCTGAAGCGGCTGCAGCCAGGGACGCTCCGGGCCGGGCGGCTGCTGGAGCTGCTGCACTGTGCCCACGAGGCCTCGGACCCTGCGCTCTGGCAGCACGTGGTGCAGGGGCTCCCAGGTCGCCTGTCCTTCCTGGGCACCCGGCTCACGCCACCCAATGCCTACGTGCTGGGCAGCGCCTTGGCGGCGGCGGGCCGAGACTTCTCCCTGGACCTCCGCAGCACTGGCATCGACCCCTCTGGACTGGGGAGCCTCGTGGGACTCAGCTGTGTCACCCATTTCAGGTGGGGGCAGGCGACAGGGGGAGAGGGCCTCCGCCGTGGGGGGTCTCATAGGCTGGCACAGTAGCTGGGCGGGGGTAGAAGTGATGCTTTCCATTTTAAAAAAAAAATATTTATTTATTCATGAGAGACACACAGAAAGAGGCAGAGACACAGGCAGAGGGAGAAGCAGGCTCCCTGCGAGGAGCCCGATGTGGGACTCGATCCCAGGGCCCCGGAATCACACCCTGAGCCGAAGGCAGACCTCAACCACTGAGCTACCCGGGTGTCCCAATGCCTTCTGTTTTTAACATGAGGACATCAAGGCTCAGAGAGGGACAGTAGCTTGCCCAAGGTCACACAGCCAGTGAAGGGCAGCGTCTTCAACCAATATTTGGGGGTAATGTTTGTTTCTTGTGCTTTTAAATTTACTTTCTTTACATTTTAGAGGGTGGGGAGGAAGAGGGAAAGAATCTCAAGCAGACTGCAAGCTGAGCACAGACCCCCCCTTCCCCTCAGGGCTTGATCTCACAATCCTGAGATCCTGATCTGAGCTGTAACCAAGAGTTGGATGCTTAACTCACTGAGCCATGCAGGCACGCCTTCAACCCATATTCGAAGACCTGCCAGGTGCCACTGGGCCACGTTTAGGATCTAAGACTTTGATCTGGGCTCAAATTCGTATTCTTCTCTCCGTTCCCTAATCAAGTCACAGCCTCCCCTCGGGCTTCCCAAGCCCCTCCTCCCTTTTCCAGTCTGCTTCACATTCAAGCAACAGAGCAGTCTTCCTAGAACTTGCATCTGATCATACGTCACCCTTCCGATTCCTTAACTGGGCTCACTTAAATCCTTCTGTGATCTGTTTGATCCCTTGGGTCCTATCTGCAGAAAATCTGTCCCACCGGAAGGGGTCCTCCTACACACTTTATCCGAGCCCTTATAGTAGTTCAACCACTCAGCTTCCTGGTAGCCAAAGCACAAAGGAAAAGAGAACCACTGGGAGGGCTGAGAAAAGGGAGGAATCGGTAAGAGCTGGAGTGGTCGTGGAAGGCTTCCTGGAGGAGGTAGGGATGAGGCTGAGCACAGAAAGTGTCTAAATAGGTAGGAGGTCCCCTCATGGAGCTGCCCCTCCATTATGGTCTAGCCCGGTCCTTGTGCCCGGGTCTGAGGCCCTTCCTCCACAGGGCTGCGCTGAGTGACGCGGTGGGGCTGTGGGAGTCTCTCCAGCAGCGAGGGGAGACCAAGCTGCTCCGGGCAGTGGAGGAGAAGTTCACCATCGAGCCTTTCAAGGCCAAGTCCCCGAAGGACGTGGAAGACCTGGGCAACCTTGTGCAGATCCAGAGGTGAGGAGGAGAGGGCGTGACAGGTGGCTCAGACCACCCAGGTTGAGGACAGCCAGGACCCAACACTACGTTTGCCATCAGTACGTCTCCCCTCTTTCGGACATCCGTGCCCTCCCCCAGGGCACCCAGACTCTCCCACTGCAGGCGCCACCTGGGGCAGAGCCTCCAGGACCCATGACTTTGTGCCATTCGAAACTTGCCATCGTGAACCCAATTCATGCTCAGCTACAGCCAGAGAGAGACTCCCTGCTCAGGGTCGGGGAGCTGCCGTCCGCATCTAGGGACAGAAGGGACACCGGGGGCCACCTTTCAAGGTGGCCGGGACCAGTATCGCCCCCGTGCTATAAGGAAGGCAGAGCTCTAAGGTCCAGAGGGCAGAGGAAATAGGACTATGAAACAGCCGTTTCTCATTCTGTCAGCATCCATTGTTTGAGCACCTACTGTGTGCTGCCTGGGCCGGGTTTGGGGAGCACTTACTGTGTGCCTCCTGGGCTGGGTTTGGAAAGCCCCTACTGTATGCCATCTAGCCAAGGTTTGTTGAGCACCTACTGTGTGCCATCTAGCCAGGGTTTGGCGAGCACCTACTGTGTGCCTTCTAGCCAGGGTTTGGTAGGCATCTACTGTGTGCCATCTGGGACAGGTTTGATGAGCACCTACTGTGTGCCACCTGGGCCAGGTATGGTGAGCAACTACTGTGTGCCATCTAGCCAGGGTTTGGCGAGCACCTACTGTGCATCACCTAGCCAGGGTTTGGCGAGCACCTACTGTGTGCCATCTAGCCAGGATTTGGTAGGCATCTACTGTGTGCCATCTGGGCCAGGTTTGATGAGCACCTACTGTGTGCCACCCAGGCCGGGTATGGTGAGCACCTACTGTGTGCCATCTAGCCAGGGTTTGGCGAGCACCTACTGTGTGCCACCTGGGCCGGGTATGGTGAGCACCTACTGTGTGCCATTTAACCAGGGTTTGGTGAGCACCTACTGTGCACCATCTAGCCAGGGTTTGGCGAGCACCTACTCTGTGCCGCCTGGGCCAGGTATGGTGAGCACCTACTCTGTGCCACCTGGGCTGGGTATGGTGAGCACTTACCGTGTGCCATCTAGCCAGGGTTTGGTGAGCACCTACTGTGAGCCATCTGGGACAGGTTTGATGAGCACCTACTCTGTGCCACCTGGGCCAGGTTTGGTGAGCACCTACTGTGTGCCACCTGGGCCGGGTGTGGCAAGCACCTTCTCCGAGGCTCTTTCCATGACACCCACAGGAATGCCTTCATAACATCCTGTTCTGGGGTGTTCCTTTTTTAACGAAGGCCAACAACAGCCCCCAAAGAAGGCAGGCCTCCCTGGGAATTCGGGGGCGCTCAGGCAGACATCCTGGGTGGGACACATACGGTGCTCCCCGCGAACATTGCCCGTTCTCCCCAGGACGAGGAGTTCCTCGGAAGACACAGCTGGAGAACTCCCTGCTGTCCAGGACCTCAAGAAGCTGGAGTTTGCGTAAGCAGAGCAGTGGATGGTCTCGGGTCCCCGTGGGGGGTTCCTTATCCAGCATTATTAGCTGGGCCTGTGCCACCGGGAATGGACGTGGGTCCCCAAAATCATTCTTTTTTTTTTTTTAAAGATTTTATTTACTTATTTGAGAGAGAGAGAGAGAGAGAGAGAGAGCACGTGAGCCAGAACAAGCCGAATCAGTGCTGAGTGCAGAACCGGATACGGGGCTTGATCCCAGGACCCTGGGATCCTGACCTGAGCCGAAATCAAGAGTCGGTCACTTAACTGACTGAGCCCCATAGGCGCCCCACCAAAATCCTTCTTATCCTCTCACTCGCCCCTTTGGACACCAGCTTCCAGCCTCTGGGGCCCGGCCGGTCAGGGCTGGGGCTAGAGCTTCTTGGGTGTGAGGCTAAGCGGTCCTTTTGCTGGGGAGCATGCTCCTTCCCATTCCTCCATTCAACAGAGTCCACTGCCCTCAGTGAGCCTGCAGTCTGGTGTCAATAGACAATCACCCCTGCTATGATGGGAGGCTAGCGGTGGCTCGGGGGGCAGGCCACGGGGACTCTCCCGGAGAAGGTGACCAAAGCGCTAAAGCTTGCTTGGCTCTTGCTCCAACAAAGGAAGAAGCTAAATTCTTGTGTCATCCTTGTTAGAGATCTAAGATCACCTAACCAGGGGCACCTGGGTGGCTCAGTGGTTGGGTTTCTGCCTTTGGCTGGGGTCCTAGGATCAAGTCCCGCATCGGGCTCCCTGTAGGGAGCCTGCTTCTCCCTTTGCCTGTGCCTCTCTCTCTCTCTCTCTCTCTCTGCATCTCTCATGAATAAGTAAATAAAATCTTTAAAAAAATCACCTAACCATTAGGAAGAAATTATTAAACACCCACAGTGTGCTCAGTGTGATTTATATACAGTCTGGGAGGTAGTCCCCACCAGCTCCCATCTTACAGATGAGAAAAGTGAGGCCTCGGCAGGTTAAGTGACCTGCCCGAGGTCCCCAGCTGCTCACCCACCAGCTCTCTGTCCCTTCTGATCTCTGCTCTCCCCGCCCCGCACCCCAGCTAGAGGCAAGCCTTTCTTGTTTTGAACAGAGATGAGGTGCCACATTTGTGCAGAAATTAAAAAATGTTGCTGGAAAGAGGAAATGTATGAAAACAATCACCAAGGGCCCCTTCTGGCTTTGAATTATTTTCAGCTTAAAAAGCCCCTAGTACGAGGTCGGAAGTGTGCTCTGGGGAACAATAGCCATGAGGTGGAACGGCCCAGAAGCAGGAGACCAGCCACCTGGAGGTCAGAAGCCCCAAGAAAGTTCTGAGGAAGGAAGGAAGGAAGGAAAGGGGTATTTTGGGTGTGTGACTGGCAGTCACTGTGCCAGGCACCACGCAGGCCCCATCGGCCTGGAGATGAGCCCTGTTGGTTGCTCAGAACCTGTCAGGGCTCTGCGGGGGAGCAGGGTCCCTCATTTGCCTTGAAGAGGCATCTCTCAATCTCCTGTCCTGCCTTCCCTGCTTCCCCCACCCCAGCCCCGTGGGCCTCCTTGCCGCATCCGACCTCACTGGGCAGGGCCTGGCCCCTGGGCCTTTGCACGGCCTGTGCCTTCTGCCCATGATGCTCTTCCTCAGATATTCGCACGGCCTATGCCCCTACTTGTCACTTCCTTCTGGTTTCCACTGAGTGGGGCATTTTTATTCCTGTGTTTAAAAAGTATAATTTTACCCTGCTCGCCCCTGTGCTTTCCTTGATATTACTGGTCATCTCCTGTGCCAGATAATTTACTGATTTTTTTGATTCTTCATCTTGCCCATGGAACTGTCAGCTCCACGAATGGGACCAGGATTTCCGTCTCTTTCATTCCTGGCCCTCTCCGTGAGCGGCTCATATGGGCCTGGCCCACGGAGGCGAGCAGTGGGTCACTGGTGCACAAACTCCGTAATCCTTCCTACAAGCTCCTGGGTGTAGAGTATTCCAGAGTAAATTCAAGTAACTGGATGCAGTTACCATCTTCTCATTTTCATCAAGCGTGTTTGTCCAGACAAGCAGAATAACCACTGCTGGCGCTGTAATTTTATCGAAGAATGAGCATTTTCGTGCCAAAAACATGCCAGGGGATGTAATTTCAGAATAAACGGTCGTTCTTTACGTGGAGTAAAGTTTACCCATATTTGAAAAGCAGAACGAGACAGTCCTCCGCTGCCTTTATCTTTCTTGTTCCCTGGATGTTGGGTGCAAACGTTGATCCAGGCAGTGAGACCTCGTGTGAATTACTTAACCCTCTGTGCCTCAGTTTCCCCATCTGTAAACCAGGGATAAGAAGTGCCCTTAGCTCAGAGTTGTTTTGAGGATTAAATGAAATCTGATCTGGGTGAAAGGCCTAGCATGTGCCTGGCACAGAATAAGTCCCCCATGAATGGTTTTGTTATTAAAATGTAAGGACATAGGGGCGCCTGGCTGGCTCAGTCAGTAGAGCATGCAGCGCTTGATCTCAGAATTGTGAGTTTGAGCCCGATGCTGGGTGTAGAGATGACTTTAAAAATAAAGATAAAAAATAAATGTAATGGCAAAGAAATAAGCCAATTTTCTCGAGACTAGCGGTGGTCCTCGGGCCAGAATTTGGGAACCACTTCCCCAGGCCAGAAGCCCAGCTGCTGCGTGGGGAGCTTTGGTGACGCCCCCCACCCCCAGATCAGAAGGGATTGGGGCGCCACCTGGTGGGGCCCGGGGGAGGGAGGCCACTGGGGAGGCAGGGATGGGGAGGCCTCGGACTGGACCTGCCTACTGCGACACGTCCACAGACCCTGGCCCCAGATTGAGGAGCCGTGACTATTCCTGGCATCTCACGCCTGCTGTTTGCCTCCTAGGCTGGGCTCAGTCTTCGGCCCCCAGGCTTTCCCCAAACTGGTGAAGATCCTCGAGGCTTTTTCCTCTCTTCAGCATCTGGAGTGAGTATAGACATGGGCGACCTCTGGTTTTGAGAACCCCAAACTCTGCCCCTGGGGGAAGGTGCAGAGAGAACCCGAAACTCCCCTCCTCCCTCCCGCTCTCCTGCTGCTTCCTTACTATGGCTGGTGTGAGTGACCAGGGGACCCCCCCCCCCAACCCTGCAGGAGAGGGAGGACAGATGAGACAATCCCCAAGAATAAGAAAAGGTTGAGTCCTTTTGTGATCTTTGAAAACTCTTTTCCCTCCCTGGGCTCACATGCGGTGCAGGACCTGGGAGCATGATCCCATCGCTCAGCTGTGGTGCCTGCGCTCATGAGGATCTCAGGGTGGGGGGAAAAAAAGAAAAGATTCAGATCCGTGGTGGGTCAGAACCCTGGCCCCTGGCTGGCCAGCTGGGCCCCCCGGGGGTGGGGTGGGGATGAAGACTTGGTCCCACTCATTCTCGCTCTCCAAAGGTTGCCTATGGTGAATCCAAGGTGGGGAGGGATGGGAGGAGGCTGCTGGCCTCCACAGTGCGGGCTGATGGTCCCTCCGACTGATTCCACCTGCAGCCTGGACTCGCTGAGTGAGAACAAGATCGGGGACGAGGGTGTGGAGCAGCTGTCAGCCACCTTCCCACGGCTGAAGGCCCTGGAGACTCTCAAGTGAGTGCCGGAGCCGCCCCCCTTCTGTGTCTGGCTTCTGCGTTCTCATGTTCGCTAGCCCATTCAGTCACCCACTCGTGTCTTGATTGAATCACACATGCAGCCACTCGTCTGTTGATTGAATCAGCGAATACCGAAGGAGCACCTGCTACGTGCAGGCCCCGTTCTGGGCCCCAGAGACCCAGCTTTAAACAGGACAAAGGCCCTGACCTCAGGGGTCTCCTAGTAGGCAAGCAAACAAATCCACCCATAATTATGAACGTAGATAACGTTCGGTGAGAGAAAGTTAGGCTGTGGGGCAGACTAGGATGTGTCCCTAAAACATCATCAAAATACTAAATATTATTTTAAAAAAAGAAAGAAAGGAGGGTGACTCAGTTGGTGAAGTGTCTGCCTTCGGCTCAGGTTATCATCCTGGGGCCCTGGGATTGAGTTCTGCATCAGGCTCCCTGCTCAGTGGGGAGCCCGCTTCTCCCTCTACCTCTGTCCTGTCCCCTGCTCCTGCTTTCTCTCCCTCAAATAAATAAAATTAAGAAATATAAAAAAAGAAGAAGTGCCTGGGTAGCTCAGTCGGGTGAGCATCCAAACCTTGATTTTAGCTCAGGTCCCCATCTCAGGGTCGTGAGTTCAAGTCCTGCATTGGGCTCCACACCAGGTGTGGAACCTAGTTAAAAAAACAAACAAAAAACAACTGTCCTGGGTTTTGGGAAGTGGACAGATTGATGTAGGAGGATCTTCATGAGCATTTACTGAACCCAGAGGGGATCATCAAAGTCTGTCCACACTCCGCATTGTAACTGGGACCGGGATGGCTGCAGGATTTACTTTGGGATTTCCTTGATTGTAGGGACACTGAGACTTCCCCAGTAATTTATAGTATTCTAGGTGATGCTGTGGGTAGGCTAGATCTCCCTCTCCTTCCTTCGTCCCTCCCTCCCTCTCCTCCCTTTCCTTCCTGTCTTTTTTCCCCACCCACTTAAGTATTTATTGAGCACCTGCTATGTACTTGGCACGGATGTAGGCACACAGATACAGAAACAAATCAAAAGACCTGCCATTAAACAAATAATGTGAATACGTATTCAATTATAGCGTGGAAATGTGGTCCACGGGGATAAGAAGGATGGTCTCAAAATCATAGAGCAGATGTGGGGGGAGCGTGATCTCTCTCTCTCGATCCTCACCCCACATCCCACGCAGCGGCAGGGCGGGACTGTCCTTTTATTTATTAAGGGTCAGCACGTTATCCACAGCGCTGTTCGCAGCCTGTTCCCCAGGGCTCTCCTCCAGGTAGGCTGGCCTGTGTTTGCTGCTCAGGGCCACCGTGTGGGGAGGTGGGAGCTCCCCAGCTCTGCCCCGGGGTCGGTGGGCGTTGATGGGCAGGGGGCCTGCACATTTGGCCCTGAGCCCTTCCCCTTGCTGTGTGTCCCTGCAGCCTGTCCCAGAACAGCATCACCGACGTGGGCGCCTGCAAGCTCGCCGAGGCCCTGCCCTCCCTGGCTCCATCCCTCCTCAGGCTGAGGTGAGTGGGGACCCCCTGCCTCCTCCGCCATCACCATCGGTCAGATGCAGATGCGGGTGGAGAGGGTGGAGAGCCTCCTTCATGCAGGTGCAGAGCCCAACCATGGGATTGGAGGCTGTCCCTGCTTGAGCTGTTGTGTGCACTTGCTAGGTGGGGGGGGGGACTTCGACCTAAAATCCAATATAAACACAACCCCCCCCCCCCCGGAGCTGGATTATGCAAGATAGCAGGACCTGACCAGCTGCGCAGGTTGCTGACTCATTTGGACAATGGGCACCCTCCCAATGGCCTGTGGAAGGCGCTGGGTACCACACCTGGCTGAGGCGCACCGTGAATGTGGGCCCTCTTTCCCCAGGGGATGGCAGGATGGAGCCTTTCCTGGAGTCCAGGGGGGACCACGTGTGGGCATCTGGGCTGGTGCTGGTCGCTCACGGGGTGCTTGCACTGCCACCTCCTGGCGGGCCTTGGCATAGCGCGTCTGGCTTTGGGTGGCTTCCAGTCCGGCTCCCCTGGTTGGGGGGTCCCAGAGCCCCAGCCATTCAGCTGGGCCGTGCCGGCCCTCCTCCCCCGCCAGCCTTTCCTGCTCCTTCCTCAGCCCTCAACACCCGCCGAGGGCAGCCAGAGTCACGTTCCCAGGGGAGATGGTATATCTGGTCCATCTAGTTGTTGACCCATCATCCCCTGCATTTTCATTCCAGCCGGGGTCACCATGCACAGCTGCGCAGGTTGTGTACTGCGCCACTCATAGTCTATGCGGCTGCACACCCCCAGGAGTGTGCAGGGCATCTAATTGCCTCTAATATCAACCATGGGCCGGCACTTGTGCTAGGAACTAGAGATACAGTTATGGACAAAACAAACATTCTTTGCCTCGAAGCTTCTTGCATAACAACTAAACACATGCACAAATTAAATATTTTTAAATAGTGACTCGTGCTGGGAAGGAAACTAACGAGGGCCCAAGAGAGTCAATGGGGAATATCGAAGTCGCCAAGGAGCTCAGGAGGCCCTTCCCCTTCCGTGGAAGTGCTCAGGGACAGGCATCCCGGGAGCAGGGAACAGAAGATGCAATGGCCTTGAGTCTTTGCCAGAAGGGACATGGTGGCTGGCTATAGGGACAGAGGGTGGGAGATGAGGTGGGGGAGGTAGAGGAGGCCAGATTATGCAGGGAGGCCCTCGGAGGCCTCCAAGGGGCTTTTGAAGGTTTTCCATTGTGAATGGAGAAGCAAGTGGCACGTATGGGGTAATATCAGGTCTGACCGACACTTTAGGAAACCTCATACTGGAAGGGCTCTGAGATGCCATCCACTGTAAGACACCATTAAGAGGACAAAACTCTGCTAATTAAGCCATGACGCTCATGGATTGTCAGGCACATCCGGATCTCAATGGTACTTGAATGTGAATGTGGGCATCTTGGTGTAAATGAAATATGGGAAGAATCCTGGGTCTGTGGGAGGCGGCGGGAGCCTCCTGGGTTCTAAGACACACCCCAGGAAGAAACTGTAGAGCCTCCACCCGGTCGTGGCCCTGGGCCTGGCCAACCTGTGACCTCAGGGGGTGTTGGAGTATAGCCTAAATCTGCTTCACTGCAGTGTAGACCTGCTGCTTTTACACGTGCTGCCCTGCAGTGGGGCCCTGAGGCTGAGTCATGGCGAAGTCATGGCCTTGGGATGGGAACCTCGGGAGCACCGGGTGGCTTGCAAGGATGATTGTGACTGAGTGTAGAGCTCTGCCCCGCGGTAGCTGTGACTGCGCCACGGGAACCGAGCTGGCCCAGGGGTTCTGGTTTTCTGTCCCCAGCAATCCCCGGTGGTGGTCACACGGTCTGCGGTAGCTCGTATTGCCTTCACCTCCCTTCACCCGCAGGAGGTAGTCAGAACCACAGCTAGGATTTGTCATTCCGTGTGTCGGGCCCTGTTTTGCATACCGGACCAGCATTAACTCATTTACTCCTCCCCGCAATTACTCTGTTGTGCCCATTTTATGGAGGAGTAAGCTGAGTCACCGAGGAGTTAAGTGACTTGCCGAGGGTCACGCAGGCGGCAAACCCTGGAGCTGGGATTTGAGCTTGGGAAGCCTCAGCCGGGAAACTACTTCCACTCGCTCCTGTGGCTTCCCTGGACTCACTGTGTGACCCCAGAGGAGCAGCCTCAATTTGTCCCTCTGTAAAATGGGGAACCCCATGGCCCCTGACCTCCCGGCACCCCCAGCCCTCCACCTTGACCTCTGACCTCTGTTTCTGGCAGCCTGTACAATAACTACATCTGTGACGTGGGAGCTGAGAGCCTGGCACAGGTGCTTCCAGACATGGTGTCCCTCCGGGTGTTGGAGTGAGTGGGGACAGTGGGTGGCAGGGGTCTGGGGCTCTGGGGGACTGTGGGGTTCCTGCTGCCATGCTGGGAAGGGCTGCTCATTGACTGCACGGTGGTGGCCTTGGTCTGGGGCTGGCTGGCCTGGACCAAGGGCCAGGCCCTACAATGGATTTCTCTCCTCAGTGTCCAGTATAACAAGTTCACGGGCGCCGGGGCCCAGCAGCTCGCTGCCAGCCTGAGAAAGTGCCCTCACGTGGAGACACTGGCGTAAGTCTCGGCCGCCCAGTGGGTGGAGAGCCACCAGCTTCCCAGGGGTGCAGCTCCTGTGAGCCCTGAGCTCAAATCCCACCCTGGGCCTCACTGATGTGGGGCCTTGGATGAGCAAACTTTACCTCCCTGGCCTCAGGTTCTTTGTCTGTGAACTGGGAGGGATATTTACCCCCAAGCAGGTTTGTGAGGTTCACATTAATCTTAAACAGTGGTTGGTACCTGAAAATGCTCAGTGTATTAAGAGTGAACGATATGAAATCACTTCTATTATTTTGGACCTGGCAAATCTGGCAGTTTCATATGGTTCAAACTTCCGTATTATTCTGTGCCATGATGTCTAATGCCCGATATCAGTACTTTATATTCCTCTGAGGCACGTTCACCTACATAATTCCTCACACCTCCTAGCGTAGATCTTATAAGACCCATTTTACAGATGAGGATAATGAGGCACAGAGAGGCTAACTGGCTTTTTTTGTGGTCGCACAGCAAGTCAGCAGCAGAACCAGGTCTAAAGAAAGGGGGTCTCGGGGCTCCCGGGCCTCTGCTGTCGCTATAACCCCTCACTGGTCTGGTTCTGCCCAGTGGGAAGTCTCCAGGGCTCTAGGCTGGGTGGTAGGAGGGAATGGGGGGGGCAGCTTGTGCTGGGGGCTCCCCTTTCTGGGGCTCCTCTCACCTGGCCCCTGCATGCCGCGCCCATCGCAGGATGTGGACGCCCACCATCCCGTTCGGCGTCCATGAACACCTGCAGCAGCTGGACTCACGGATCAGCCTGAGATGATCTCCGTGATGCCTGGGATGAGGTAGGTAAGCGGGGTGGGCTCAGGCGGGAAGAACCACAGGGGGCTGCTGGCGCCAGTGTCTTGTGAAGTCAGAATCCACAGGACGGGGGCGAGGGGGGTGGCAGGTGGTTGGGTGAGCATGTCGGGACCTTGCACCGTCTGGGGCCTCCTCCTGTGACTGGTGGAGGGGTCTTTAAAGCCTTTGGAGAGGGGGCACCTGGGTGGCTCAGTCGGTTATTGGGCTCAGGTCGTGATCCCTGGGTCCTGGAATCGAGCCCCACGTTGGGCCTGCTGCTCAGTGGGAACCCTGCTTCTCCCTGTCTGCCCCCCCCCACTCGTGCTTGCTTGTCTCTCTAGTGCCCTCTTTCTCAAATAAATAAATAAAATCTTAAAAAAATAAAATAAAATAAAGGCTTTGGGGACTTGGCCCCTGAGCCTCCTCCCTGTGGCCAGGCATAGAGAGGTGGGGAGTCACCGTCCACAGCCCTTAGTTTTGGGAAGAGCTTCCTTAGAGGTCCCTGAGCCACCCCTGCTGCCTGCCCTGCATCGTCATTGTAGGATTTGCTCTGGGAGTTTCTGCACCCGTGACTTCCGTGCTCCCCACCCCCCGTGATGTCCTCCTCCAACTCCACCTCCTCCCCGGTCCCTGTGCTGAGCTGCCCCTCTGAGAGCGTTCTGACCGGCCCCTTCTCCCGACCTCTCACAGCACGTTCCTGGAGGATGCCAACCACGCTGGACCTTGAACTGGTGATCTGTGGACACAGTTCTTCTCGTGTCCATGAGCTGAGCATCGTGGCGCCCAGCCCCGCCGGCTTGGGGTCGGCCCCCACCCAGCAGCGGGAAGGACCGCGGCCTGCTCTGCGGACGGACCCAGGCCCGGCTCCAGGCTCCTGCGGGGTCCAGGTTGATGGCAGGTGCGGTCCCCCCTGCGGGACAGGACGCTCCCAGCAGCTCCCGCCAGCCTGGGGAGGAAGCGCCTCTCCACGCTGCTGTCCTAACAGGGCACGCTTGGCGCCCTGCGGATGCCAGCGGTCAGCCCCACCTGCTCAATCCCGGACTGTGACTGTGACAGGTTGGGGGTGGGGCTGTGGCTGCTGCGTTCCATCTGCAGGACTCACTGTTTTGCACTAACTCTGTCGAGGCCAAAGCTAGGCGTGGCCCCGACACACTGGACTGGAGCTGGAAATTGCTGATGGTACACTAAGTGGGGGCGGTGGGCTGGAACCACACCTGCCCCTCGGCCTTCATTTCTCGTGTTGTGTTTCACTACGTTATAAAGGGCTCATTTGATCTCACAGGGGTGTCCACTGGTTGAGTTCATACCACAGTAGCGTTTCGGGGTGCCCGCTGTTCGGTTATCTGATGCTTCGCAGGCTCCCCGGGATGCCCCGTGGCTTGAAACAATGCACACATTTATTCTGCTCACACTGTGCCTGCAGTGCGGGCTGGGCGACAGCTTGTCTCTGCCCCACTCGGTGTTGGCTGGGGCAGCTTGGCGGCTGGGGTTGGCATCATTGAAGGCTCAGGGACTCGATGCTGGCGGGTGGGGGTGGGGTGGGGGTGGGCCTGGGGCCTTGGTGCCTCTATGGAACCACAGAAGGGAGATCTCTGCCTGTGGGCTGGTTTGGGCTTCATTGTAGCATGGTGGCTGGGCCACCCAGCATGGAAGAGAGATCACAGAAGGAAGCATCCTTTTTATAACCCAGCCTTGGGGGTCACACAGCACTACTTCCTCCACAGCCTGTGCCCCGTGTGACAGGGTCCGTGGCTCTCCTACCCCCCAACTGCCCCCGACTGCTCCCGGCCTCCCAGCAGAGTCCACCTGGGCCCACATCCTGCCTCCGTGGAAAGGGGTCTCCGGCATCCCAAGCTGTAGTGGCAAATCCATTATTGGGGGATCAGCAAGGCTGAAGCACCATAAGCCTTGCAGAGAGGTTTACCTCTGCCTCCGACTCATCGTTGTACCCTGGGAGCCGTTTCTTAGTCGAGCTGGCATCTTGCCTTGGCCACGGCGAGCCTAAAAGGGCCCCGGAAGCTTTGCTGTCTACACAGATTGCCGCCTGCTCTGTGGTTGTTTTGCTGGAGCTTGGCCTGCTTGGTCACATGTCCCAGTTCAGGTCAAGTCAGCTTTCTCCTGGGGGCGGGGGGAGCTGTCTGTTTGGCTCTAGCACACTGGCTCTGATGCCCGGTTTCCAAACTCTCCTCCTCTTCCCGGAAAGTGGGAGTCAGGGGTCAGGAGGGTCAGAGGGATTTGGACCTGGCTGCCTAGCTGGCAGTCCTCGCAGAGACAGTGCAGGGCGGGGGTGGGGAGGAGGGGAGGTGCCCTCTGCCTCGGCCCAGCTGCGAAGGACGCCAGGCATTCTGACCAGCTTGGGCATCACTCCTCAGGGTGTGCCGGCATTTGTGGATTGTGTGCAGTCCACGGGCTGCTGTTTGTGTGGCGACAGGGGGGACAGGGAGGACTCTCCAGCGGGACAGGCCTCTGCTGACACCCCTCAGCCGGAGGTGTGGGGGGACACTTGCACCCACAGCTTTGAGTCTGTTCAGAGATGACAAAACCCTAGTCCAGGGCCAGGATTATTCGTAGCTCTGCCTGCCTGTGTGACAGCTACCATTTATTAAGTAAGTGGATGCGTGTGAAGTGCTCATCACAGTGCAAGGGATATAGTAGGTGCTCAGTAAATATCAGTAATCATTACTTTGTGGCAGCACCATGCTAAGCCCTTCCTGCTCGAAGGGACCACAGTCCAGGGCCAGCAGCAGACTCCAGAGCCGGCCGGCTTGGGCTCAGCGCCCAGCTCACCACATGTGCACGTGACCTCTCCGTGCCTCAGGCTCAACATATGTAAAATGGGCATAATTACAGTACCGCGTTCATTGTGCGGCAATTCAAGGGGTTGGCACAGTCACAGCAAGAGCCTGGCATGCAGCCCAGCCCTCGTTATGTATGTTTTGTTCCTGCCTCTGCCTGGCACGTTCTTCCCGGCCCTTCACATTGGACAACTTCTGATCCCGCAGGGTTTTTTTTTCCTCCTGGATTTTAATTATTTATTCATGAAAGACACACAGAGAGGCAGAAACACAGGCAGAGGGAGAAGCAGGCTCCGTGTGGGGAGCCTGGTGTAGGAGTCGATCCCAGGACCCCGGGATCAAGACCTGAGCTGAGGGCAGATGCTCAACCACTGAGCCACCCAAATGCCCCAGGACTTAGTTTAAAGGGCACCTCCCCAGTAAATAGACACCCCCCCCCACTCCCACTCTCCAAACTGGTCATTACTTTTATCTTTTTTCATCCTTATCTGCTGTGTTGCCTGCTGTCCTTGGCTGTGAGCTCCAGGTGGGCAACTCCCTTGTCTGCTTTGGGCACTGCTATATGCTCTGCACCTTGCAAGGTGCCTGAACACAGTAAGTGCTCAATAAATGTTTGTGGGATAAATGATCCTCACCACAACTTTGCTTATTTGCTTTGTTCATCCCACATATATGTACAGAGGACACAGTGGCGTACTCAATAAAATGCCCCAGCTTCCTGCTCTGGAAAGTCTTGCATTTTAGTTACTAAAATTTTTTAATTTAATTAAAAAAAAAACTCCCTGGGCAGGGCAGTCTGGTATGGTTAGGCAGTCTGTGCACTGCACAAAGGCACCTGAACAAGGAGGCAAATGGGGATTGCAGACCAACTTGGGCTCTGCTTGCCAAGCTGTGTGTCCTGATACGGAGCCGTGTCAGCCCAGAGGGGCACCTCTGTAATTATTAGCACAAAGTCATCTCATGAGGTGTGCAAATTCCTGTCCTCATTTCACAGATGTGACTTGTCTAGGGCCACATTCCTGTCAAGGAGACAGTGGAAATGCAGACTCGCCTTTTGGTCTCCAGGGGTCCAGGGACAGCGTGCTGGGATTGCTTTCTGAGTGCCATTTGTTGAATGGGAGAAGCGCGGCCTGGAGGAATCAATCGAGGCATCGGCCTGGGGTCATGCTGTATGTTGATGGCATGATTCCAATTTCACTGAATCTTTTAAATAAACCCCCAGCTTTCCCTTCAGGCCTCTCCCCCATCGAATGATCACCTCCCTTCCCGGGCCTCTCAGATGTGTTCTATTCACGTCCCCCGGGGCCCTTTCCTAGCAGCACAGGCACTTGAGGGTACTGGAGCTGTTTTCCTCTAGTCTACAGGGGCTTGACCCCCGCTCACCTGTGCCCTCACCCACACAATTGTTGTTCTTTAACTCGGGTAGTACGTGAAAGTGCTTTGAGGAGCATCAGGCGTGCTGCAGAATGCAGAGTCATGGCTATTTTGTTGTGAAACTGAAGGTTGCCCCAATTTCGCCCATTCACCTACTCCTTCCTGTCCAACCTCATTGCCTTATCAGGGGCTGGCCTGTGTGCACTGGGGTGTGGGTGGGGGGATACTGCACCCCGTGTCTCTGGGAGGCAGGCCGCTGGGCTTCGGCCTCAGCACCCCACAGGCTGGCACTGGCCTCTCTGGCTTGACTCCGTGGCCAGCTCTGCTGCCTCCCAAGCTGGGGAGGCCCTGACTCTTGCCCTCTGTCGAGCGCAAGGTCCTGCCTACAGGCTCCTTTTGTGAATCTTAAAAAAAAAAAAAAAAAAAAAAAAGGCAGGGCCCCATAGGCTGGAGTTGCATACATGTTTTAATTGAAAGAAGTCAGCCTCCTAAGTATTGCTTTTACAAGGTTTATCAACATCAAGTATCCACACCACTCACATTTTCAAAAAATGTTTCCGGCTGGAGGAGCAACGTGGCACTCCCCCTCGGCGTGATGTATCAGTTCTGGCAACTTGATGAAGAACGAGGAACTTGAAATGGGTAAGTCAGGCCCGACCCTTCAGCCCGACATGTTCTGCGGCTTCTTCTCCTTCTGATTTAACTCCCTGAAACAATCCTTGCATCTAGGGTCAGCCTCGGGCCAAAGCAGGCCAGGCTTCGGGCTCCACTGGCAGCAGACGGAGCTGGGAGCGGCCTCTGTGCGCGTGTCCGCAGTTTGAAGTATCCTCTCCGAAGATTAAGTGGGAGAAGCAGGTGCAGTCGGGGGTGAAGAGCGGGGAGGCAGACTCTGGCTGGGTTCCTGTAAACATCCATCGCAACTGCGAAAGGTCATAAGCCAAGGCAAGGCCGTTTGTGCGACGCTGCAGGCGGGGGAGGTCTTCGGATGCCCCTGCCTTTCCCCCTTGGGTGGGGGCAAAGGCCTTCTGGGCCTCCGCTCTCAGTTTCAATCTCTCCATCCCACCCTCTGGGGTCCGGACGGAAACCTCTCTGTTGGCACGGAGCTTTCGGGGGGAGCAGGCCTAGCGAGAAGGGAGAAAGGGGGTGTTACCAGCACGGAAGCACTGTCCCGCCTTCGCCCATTTTTTTGGTGGTGGCCTCAGGAGGCTCGGGGCAGGGAGGCCTTCCTCCATCCCTTGCATTCGGGAACCATCAGAACGCCCACTCTCAGGCTGGGCATCTTTTCCTAAACTCTTATTAACTTTTTTTTTTTTTTTTTTAGTGAATTTGCCTGATTTCTAAGGACCCTGGACTGGGAGCCAGTGCAATTTCACTTAATCCATTCTTGGGCGAGAGGAGGGGGATCCTGGTCCCTGAGGAAGGATGGCAGCGTGCTCAGGGTGACCCAGGGCCTGCTGGCTGACCTGAGCCCCAGAGCGGCTGAGCAAGCCCGGGCAGTGGGCAGGGCTTGGCAACACCTCCCAGTTTGCCCGGAAGATGCTTTGCAGGCCAGGCTACTCAGCAGCCCCACTGCACTCGTCCTCACAGGACATGGCTCTTCCTCCCCTCCTGGCCCCTCGGCTGCTCCCCATTTCCCAGAACCAATCTGGCATTTCCCATACCCACCACGTTCTGTGTCTAGCTGGGCGCCAGGGTCTCTGCAGCCTCTCATTTTCCCATGCCTACCCTCCTGGCCCAGCTCTGGGTCTCACCACCGCCAGCTCAGACTATACCTCCTGCAAACGTCATCATGAGTCAAATAAAAACTTACATGTTAAATACACAACCTGTACTGTCGTTTACCAACATCTGGGGCAGAAAATTCTCAGAGGCAGGAGACCGATTGTGGGCATTGTGAGACTGTGAGCAGCATCCCTGGTCGCGGACCACTAATGCCAGTAGCAGTCCTGGGGCACAAGGACAACTAAAAATGCACCTGGCCCCATTTCCGAGGGGCGTGGAGGGGGCAGGACTGTTTCTATTGAGAACCACGCATCTCCCCGAGGCGCAGAGAAGCCAAGTGACCTCTTACACCGACTGTGACAGGCAGAGCTGGCACTGGACTGGTGATGATGACGACAGAAACCATCACACCCAGGCAGCTGCCACCACCTGAGCTTTGACTGTGTGCCTCGTCCCCAAGGCAGAGGTGCCCTGGTCCCTCCACACGCCCATCCAGGGCACCTGAACCTAGCAACTTCCACCTGCAGGGAGCTGCCTCTGAAGCCTGCCTGGCCCCCAGGCTGCAAGTGCAGGCAGAGCCAAGGTCCCCCCATAGCTGCCTTCCAATCAGTGATGACCAGGAGGGTGGGGGATCAATACCTCAGTTCCTGCACCCCGCAGCTGAGCCTCTATGTACCCTGGCCCTCAGAGTTCCTGAGTAGCACTGAGCTCAGGGCTGCAGTGGTGACCTGAGAACCCTTTCCTGCTGGTAGTTCCTGGGATCACCTCCCAAATAAACGACCTGCACTTGAACCTCTATCCAGGGGTCTGCTCTGGGGAGAGGAGGCCTGAGGCAGAGCATTACGTACATTATGTCATTCAGCACCCCCCCCCCCATCAACTCCTGGAGTGACATGCTATTATGATCCATTTTACAGACAAAGGCAGTAAGGTTCAGGCACGGTAAGTAACTCATCCAGACACGCTCAGTTCTCCAGGGCTTCATTCCACTGGAGACTTTCAACACTGCCTAATTGCCTAATTTCATACCTGTTGTGTGCCACGTCCTGAGCTGGGTGCTGGGGACCCCGTGATAAATGCAGCCATGCTTCTGAGACAGAGTCTGGTGAGCGAGTGCAGCCCAAGGTAATATGCCCGACAGGAGGGGGTACAGGGGACGGATAGAGCCCCGAGTCGGGGGATGGCTGTGCATGAAGAGCATGCCAGGTAGGCGGCAGGTGGGCACCGAGTCCACAGCAACCCCTAGAACCCCCTGGAGTTTGGTATGGGGTGGGGGAGGGGAGAAGGAGGCAGGCGACGGTAGATACTGCGGAGAGGGGAGGATGGGCCAAATCAGCCGAGTTTCTTGTGCTGTCTGCCAGATTCATCTACTAGATGCCAGCTGGGAACACATCCTTCCACTGCTCTGAGTCCCCAGCTCCTGCTGAAGACACAGGCCAAGTCTTCGTGTCCTGGGGCCTCATCCCACCTCCCCAGCTGGATTGGCATGGGGAGGGGAAGCCAGGGCTGCAGCCAGAGCACTGCTGAGCTCAGCCTTCTAGAAAGGTGTCCATGGCTCCCTCTCCCATCCCACCAGGAATCCACCTTTGTTGACCTCCATCCAAGGAACCCCTGGGGTTTCCTGTAGGGTCAGTGGTGGTGCTCCTGAGAGCAGGGCTCCGTTCAGAGATCTCTAAGGGAGGGGTTCATACTTAAGCCCATTTCAGACTCATGTGGATTGGGTGTCAGAGAACACAGAATCACCTCTGGAATGGGGACCCACTCCTCTCCCAGTCTTGGTGTCTGCCACCAGCAGAGGCCAGACAAGCATCAGCCTGGCTGGAACATGTCTCTGACACATGCTAATCTCCCATCTGAATAGGCCCAGGGCCCTGCTGGCACCGGCTCCAGCTGGACCCACTACTGCTCTCTGTTTTCACTGCGCTATGCAGGGTCACCTTCTATTTATGGCAAGTGATGCCAGGTTTCCACTTCTGATAGTAAAATAAAGTACATGTCTTTTCAGAGCACGACTTCCCTTTAAAAAGAGGACGTTTAATGAAAACAGTGATACAAATCAGAGTTCAGACTAGGGAGCAGAAATTGTTGACGGGGTCATATGGGGTTTGGGAAACCCTAATCGGGAGTCCGTATCACTGCTTCCACAAAGGGCCCAGACAGGGCGGGGAGCTGCCCTAAGTCACTCAGCAAGTTGAGGACAGCTCAGGTCTCCCTGTCCTTAGCTAGAGGATGTCCTGTGACCTCTCATCTGTGCCACCACCCACTGTGGCTCCAAGTTAAAGATCAATCCCCTTGTTCCTTAACTTGCGAGTCTGGCCTCACAGCAAATCCACCAATGAGAAGCTTGAGAATCTCAACAGGTGATATTTCTCAAGCACTCTTTGCTTACATTGTACCATCTGCCTTAACTCTTAACTCCTGTCCTAGCTCATGTATTCCTCAGGACAACCCTGGGAGGTGGGGCCAGGCATCATCGGGAATTTCAGACAGGGCTCAGAAAGGCTTCAGCAAATTGCTCAAGGCCATAGAGCTTGCAAAGGGCAGAGGTGGATTTGAACCTCTGTGGTCTGATCTTAGGTGCATCTCTTTCCTCCAAGGCAAGAAAAGCCTGAGGCTGCAAGCATCCTGGAGCTGCAGCCTGCAGGATCCAAAGCAGTGGATTCTCCAGCTTTCCTAATCATCATTAGAGCATGACAGACCATTCATTAGCTGTTGGTTTTTTTCCTCCTTCTTCTTCTTTTTGAAAGCATAACCTTTCATTCCAGGCTACTCCCAAGAGCTGGACAGAGGGAGTGGCCAGCTGACTCATTTCTGGCATTAAGAATGACAGCTGGGCACTTGATCCATTTTAAGAAGCAAGTCCCGGCTCATGACCTCTGTGGAGAGACTGCCTAGTTTTGGAATTGGCTCTTGCGTCTGCAGGGTGCTGGTGGACCAAGCTCTGGACATGCTGCAAGATTTCTCTTAAGTGCTTGCTCCAGCCACCCCACTCCTTGGGAGCAGTCACGGCAAGGCTGATCTGTGGGAATCCTGGCTCTGCCCCTTGGTAGCTGTGTGACCTCAGGCACATTACTTCATCCCTCTAGGCCTGTTTCTTCAGCTGAAACAGGAGCACAGTGGCCACCTTGTTGGACTGTTTGTTGTGAGGATCGTATGAAGTCACATCTGTGGAGTGCCTGCAATTCATGACGCATCAGGGCGCAGGGGCCCCGCCCCTCTTTCCCACCTGTTCCCAGCTAGCAAACACACCAGGCCAGCGGCCTCCTCAGTGCTGGCGGCCTGAAACATGTAGCCCTGTCGCCCTCCAAAGTCCTTGCTGGCTGGAAACCCATTGCTCGTTCCTCTTTCCCTCGTGCCAATCAATTCAAGTGGCTAAAGGCAGATGTCACTCAGAGCCAACGTGCATGGGTGTCCACTGTCAGCTCAGTGATGGGCCATATGGCAGAAGGATGACCTCTGCCTCGGCTAGTCCAGGGATTCGTGGCCTGAAGGGGATGGGAAAGGAGAGGCTGCCTGGCTGCCTGGGCCTCTGATGGATGCTGGTGTTCTGGAGAAACAAGGACTGGCTTCTCAGACTCAGATTCCGGTTGACATGTCAGTTGCTGACACTCACCAGCTGTGGGTTTTGTGAAGATTCTTGGCCCAGAACGTGTCTCCAGCTGGTTGGTGGAGGGCAGCATTTGTCCAGGAGTCTTGCCAAATCTAAGAACTGCCTGGATGATTATTTTTTTGGTATTTTAAATCAATGGACTTTTTTTTTTTTTAGCTCCAAATTTTTAAGAGGAACTTTTATGTCACTATCAAGAATAAAAAACAGGATCGTTTGTCATAAACAGAAGGCAAACTAAAAGCAAATACAATGGAAGTGAAACCCTTAGTTCTAGCCAGATACGCCTGGTCAAAGGGAGAAGTAGCAGGTGCACGAGAGTAGCAGAGCACCGACAGCCCGGCCACACTCTGCTTCAGCGGCCTCCCCTGTGGCAGAGGGCCTCACTCGAAGCAGCACTGGGAGTGTGGCTAGGAGGCCCAGCTGGCCACCTCAGAGCTGGGTACCTGGGGTGAGTCACTCAACATCCCTAAGCCTCAGTCTTCCTCCCTGTATAATGGAGCTAAAGTGCCCTGCCCTGCCTGCTTCGAGGGTGACGCTTAGGGGAAGCTAGATGTGGGAGAGGCAGTTATTTTTAACCACCCGGCCAAGTCCTCTGGCAGGAAGGAATCACAGGAATGAAGCCTTCCCCTTCCAGGGGTGCCTGGAACCAGGAGTCACTCCCAGCGCCTCCCCAGGCTCCGGGCAGAGGATGATAGCTGTAAGGACAGCAGCATCAACTGGACTCACTGGGTACCAGTTATTATCACCCTGGGCTGCTTCAAAGGCCATTTATGGGGACAGATCCTCCTT